CGCCGCCGCCGCCGCCACCGCCGCCGGCGTCCTTGGACAAGCCCGCTCCCCAGCCCTGGGAAAGTAGGTGAACGGTGATTGGGAAGGTCGGGAGGGAAAGACGAACCACGAACGAGTGAAGGTGCTGCCAGGGCAAGAGTGTACCAGACGTAGAACTGACCAAAAGGCGTTCTTGAAGTGCGGCGACCTCGGGATGACGTAGTGAAGAAGATGTCGGAAAAACTACCCACCTAGCCGCCAAGACTAAGATGAACGCGAGAGAAAACCAGTAAAGCCAAGCCGTAAGGAAGTAAAGGTAGGTGTAGAGGCGGCGGAAAAGTAGTAAAGAACTGATGACGTGAGCTGGGATAAAGATTGCTAAAGGGGGGGGGAGGGCCCCAGGGGGGGCCCCCCTCCTCCCTCTCCTCATTCATTCACCCTCGGGGCCAACACACACGGCAGGGTGCATCGTCCGCACACCCCTTAACAGGTACTCCCTCCCTCCCTCCCTCCCTCCCTTCCTCCCTTCCTCCCTCCCTTCCTTCCTCCCTTCCTCCCTCCCTTCCTCCCTCCCTTCCTCCCTCCCTTCCTCCCTTCCTTCCTCCTACATACAAAAATATGACCCCAATGGAAATATGACCCCACCAACGGCAGCTGTACATCATAACTCACCGAAGGTCCTTGCTGCTGCCGTTGCTGCTGCTGCCGTTGCTGTTGGTGGTGGTGGTGCTGCTGCTGTTGTTGGTGGTGCTGTTGTTGATGTTCTTGCTGTTGTTGGGAGCTATCCCAGAAGGCGTCTCCGCTCCAGACGAGCGCCAGTTCGATCTCCCAGCCGGTCTTAGCCGCCCACTCGCCGGCCTGAGCCAGGTCCAGGAACTCACCGCCGCCGCCGCCGCCGCCGCCACCAGCAGCCCGAAAAGCCTCCGCCGCGCCTGAGGCCGCCGCGAATGCTCCCCCGCCACCGCCGCCGCTGCCGCCGGATCCCTGCTGCTGCTGTTGCAGGTGCTGCTGCTGTTGCAGGTGCTGCTGCTGCTGCTGCTGCTGCAGGTGCTGCTCCTCATGGTGATGTTGCCGGGCTCCCGTCATGTATTCGTACAACGTTTCCCGCATGCGCCGCAATCCAATCACCCACTGCACGTGCTCGGGAAGCAACGCCAACTCCACACATGTTGCCGCGGCGGCGGCGGACGTACTGGCAGCAGCGCCCGCCGCCGCATCCTGGGCTGCGACGGCGCTCCCGTCAACACCCTTGGGGGCCAACACCCCAGGTAGCGATCCATCTGCCGCCGGCAGCGGCAGCGGCAGCGGTGGCAGCGGCAGCGGCGGCGTCGCTTTCGCGTGGTCCTGCCACCGTTCCTCCCGCTCACCTCGAGCGGCGAGTGGTTCTTGTACGGCAGCTGGGAGCTGTGTCTGCTGCGGCTGCTGTTGTACTTGGGCTGTCCTTATCATGCCCGAACGCAGTGTGGAAGTTCCTGCTTCCCTTTCTTCGCTGGCATGGCCGATGCCCCCGCCGCCGTCGGCACCGTCGCTGTTGTCGCCATCCCGTTCGTCAACACCGCTCTCGCCACCCTCCTTTCCTGGCGCTTCCGTATCACGAAGCTGATAAAAGTGCGCGGCATGCGGATGCGTTTGGCGACCCAGCGGCGGCGCTGCCGCTGCCGCCGCCGCCGCCGCCGCCGCTGCGGCCTCCTGACGTACACCGCCGCCGCATGGCGGCCACAGCCCGCCATCACAGCTCAGCGGCGTCCCGGCTGTGTTGCCTTCCGCTGCCTGGCGGGACGCGACGGGTACCGCTGCATATGGACCCGTTGCACCGCCGCCGCCGCCGCCGTCGGCGCCGCCACTGCGGCATGCCTCAAGCATATGACGGTCCACGCCGGCGGCGGCGTCAACGCAGCCGCTGCCGTCGCCAAGGCCGCCAAGGCCACTGGAGTACGGGTGCCGAAAGTCCGGTTGGGTGTCATCCACATCCGCTATAGGCTGTCCTTCATTTTGTTGCAAGTGCTTGGAATGTTGTTCTTGTTGCGAAAGGTGCGGAGGCTGCTGCTGCTGCTGCTGCTCCTGCTCCTGCAGCTGTTGCTGTTCATCTTGCTGCTGCTGTTGCTGCTCTTGCTGTTGCTGTTGCTGTTGTTGTTGTTGTTGATAGGAATGATCGTCGTCGCCGTCGCGGTAATGATCACCATAAGTACGGCAGTGTACGGGTTGCTGTACGGGTTGCTGTACGGGTTGCTGCGGCACTGGGCCTTGCTGTAACATACCGGAAGCAGGGGGTCCGAGACCGCTGTACGGCGCGTTGGCAGCTTGCTGGTTTCGGGGCTGTTGCCACGGCTGGTACCAATCGTCAGCCATGTAGCAGTACGAACTGCCGTACTGTTGTACTGGGTCTTGATACATCGGATATTGTTGTTGTTGTTGTTGTTGTTGTTGTTGTTCCCGCATCGCGGCTAAGCGATCGTCCATCGCATAGCCTAGCTGTGCCGCGGCCGTTACATCGCTGCCGCCACCCAGGGCATTGCCGTCGCAGTCTCTCCCCCCGCCCCCGGCCCCGTTGATGACGGCGCCGCCGTGGCGGGGCTTCTCGGTGCCCTCCACCGCCTCCTCCTCCTCCTCCTCCTCCGCTGCCGCCGCCGCCGCCCCCGGCGACGATAACGGTTCGTCGATTTCCGCGAACCCGTTGTCGACTGCACGTATGTATGTATGTATGTATGTATGTATGTATGTATGCATGCATGTATACAATGGGATGAGATGCAAGCGATGGGTAAAGGTTAGTTAAACTAATTGCGGTTTTTGATAGTATTTGATAATGGCGTGAAGCACGATGGTGGCGCGACGGTCAAGGAGGCCGTAGGAGGTGACTAAGACACATCGGCAGAGGCAGCTGAACCCTAAAGAGGCTCGTTACGTGTGGAAAGTGCCTCTCCCTCTGTGTCTCTCTGCCACTGTCCAGGCATTCTTCCATCCAGGCATAATACCGTGGAAAGATGGGGGGAAGGTGTCATGTGTGTGTGTGGGGGGGGGGGGGAGTCAGGGAGGAAAGAAGGGGGTAGGTAAAGGAAGACGAATTCAGCAGTAACGAATTCATCAGCTATACCGTACACAGCAAAATGGGGATGAGCGTCGCGCGTGCCGCCATACGCTGGGGCACAGCGCGCGCTGAAGCTGACCCATGGTTCATATCTGCGGAGAGCCCAGACGTGCGCTATTTTTCCAAGCTTAAGCGCATGCACACGTGCAGCAGGAAAGCTGCAGAAATGCTTCGACACGTTTGTTATTTAAGGGCTTCTCAAGCGGACCGCGAAAATAAATTTTGGGCGTCAGGTACTTGAGCTGTCAGCATCAGGGGGCGTCTTTTTACGTCTGGCGGCTTACTATTGGTGATGCCGGTGACCGCAGACACAGAAAAGATTTCAAAATCATACAAGCGAACGTCGTCGCCGCGTGCTGTGTCTGTCTGTGTGAATATGGCTGCCTACCTGGAAGACGTAGATATTCAGACGGGCGAGTCATGCTTGAATTTTGCTCGAAAGCAAAGTCCGCTCCTTCAGTTCGAAACGCTGCTGCAATTCAGAATTCCAAAACGCAGCTCAGGCCGGTGGCATGCAGCTTTCTAAGCGACGCCGAGGGCGTTTTCTCGCAAAAACGTCCAAGATAATTGGGTGATTACGGCGTTCGAGCGCATGACGTGAGCCGTGTCGATTCTGCAGGACGAGTCTATGGCAGCGAGAAGTCCATGGCTCACCTAATCTTAATTCAAAGACAAGCTTTTGTGTCTGCAGTTCATCGTAATCCCTCCACTACGTCCTTGTTGTTCCCCTTCGTCCTGGTATATGGGCGGAACACCTGCTAACTGATGACGTTGCTGACCGTGGACACAATTAACAACTTTAAACACGTGACCTCGGCCATCGGAACATACAGGAGAAGACATGAACCTGAGTACGCACTGTTTAAATTTACTATGTCAAGGCCTGCGTGCGAGCAGCACAGGTCGGATCCACTCAATAAATCTGTAAACCGTGAATGACGTTGCAGCCCTCCACGGCGGCATTTTATATGGCATAAAGAGGAAACACGCCTGTGCAGCCGCTAGGAGCGAAGCTTGCTTCTCTCATGGGTAAGGTCGCGCAAGGTCTCGTCAGGGTATGTGTCTGTCTGCGGCAGCCGCGAGGAGTCCACATCTGGGTTTCCGCCTTTTAACGGGGTTCAACCACCGACAAAGCTGTGATCATCCTTGGGATTCTGGACAGTACACTAGATTCGCTTCCCCGGACTCATAAGCATACAGGACATCGTGGGTCGCTGCTAACCCTCCAGACACAGCGCAAAAGGTATCAGTTAGAAACGCGGGGCCCAAAGACGCAACCGTCTTGTCCTATAACTTAAAAGACAGGTGATTACCGCTTCATCAGAGAATTAGAACCCCAGGACTGGCAACGCTGGATGTAAACTCAAGAGCCCGCCAGATGGCCTGAGATGGTGGAGCATTGAGATGGTTATCAGTTGTTTGATTAGTTGATTCTTTAATGTTAGCCGATAGAGTCCTTGCAATGGCAAAGTCTCTGCCCGGGCTCGATCGGGTTAACTGACCCAGGGATCACAGGAAAGGAAAGCTGGAGCTTTTCCTTGATTGACAGCTGGAAACATGTAAGGAATCTCAACTGCAATTTTGCATTCAGGTTACATAGCTTCCGCCGAAACAAAGGGACGTGCATTATGCAACCGTTTCCGTTGACCGATATCTGGAAATTCTGCACAAATAACAAAATGAACAAAGTCTCGATTTCTAAATTTTTTTAGTCTAATGATATACACAAATCCCTGATGGCTTGCTGTGGGCCAGCGGACGGTACGCAGTGCCCTGGAAGTCAGCATTCAGCCTCGTTAGCAAAGGAGACCCATGTCTTATTTCAACATCGTTGCAGGTCTGCGTGACAACGATGACTGGAGATACCCGCGGCAGCTAGAATGGAAACGACTTGTTACAGCGGAGGATGTCTCTTTAATTCTTGCACCATCGTATGAAAGACCTTTACTTCCTGCTACGACGGTGAGAATTTGTTTCATATATGAAACACTTGTCCCGAAGAACTAAGCTTGTATGACCTGACATGGGCTACTGCTGTGGCTGGCGTGTTCCGAGGGTGGGCGCTAAGCAGTCTTTGAGATTGGGTTGGGGTTGTATACCTATGGATAAACTTATCGCGCGTATGTTACAAACCCTGCCTTGTGCGCGCAATGAATGCATCTTGCACGCAGGTCGAGGTGCCGAACCCGCTGCACACGCGCTCGGCGCAGCAATGGTTCATCAACCTTCCCGACGACACCGCGCGCGCTGTCATGAACACACGGCAAGTGGTCTGGGGCAGGCTGGATCCAACACACAGTCCATCCCCACAACAACCACTGCCCACCCTGACCGTAAAACACACACCCAAACGCGCCTCTTACCTCACCCCTCCTTCACCAGCGCTCATCCAACCCATCCCTCCCCCGGACGGCCTGACCTCACACAGTAATCTTCCCAAAGGCCGACTCAGGAGTGGGGTCATGCCGGAGAGTCTCTGAGTCGTGATGGCATTATGGCGCAGCAATAGTGGTGGTATTAGTAGCAGTAGTTGCAGCAGCAGCAGCAGCAGTAGTAGCAATAGTCGTAGTAGTACTTGTCCTTTTCTTACTCCACTGTACAACGTCACCTATTCCCGATGCAGACGCACCATGATCCGCGAGAAGCAGATTGCGACATCGGTGCTTAGCATGGACCCCAAGCCACCCGCCCGCGACCGGCGGCGCTCGACAGAAATGGCCTTCCTCAGCTTGGAGGCGATCCACCGCGCCCAACTGGCCGCCATGGCTGCGAAGGGCGACCGGCGGGGAGCGGCAACGGCTTCGGCTTCGGCCGCCCAGCGAGCCCAGCAGGTGCCCGGCGAGTTAACTACCTGACAGCATTGTAGTAGCGAGTAGAGTCTTTTAGTGCTAGGGTTCAAATTCAAAAGTTCAAATTCAAAAAATTGAATTTGAAATTTTAAACTTTTCAACAAATTTAAATTTCAAAAATTCAAGCTAAGGCCAAAAAGGCGCTACAGTAGGGTGAGTGAAGAAGTCACAGGATCCCAGGCAACAAAGAGAGAAGAGGCCACACAATGTGGACAGTTAGTCGAGTACGGCCCGCCGCAGCTCCCTTTTCCTTTTGAGCCCTGAGCCCACTCACCAATAATGCCGACCCAATCCCCCCCTCGCCCATACCGCCGCCTATACCTCAGGTTTATGTTCCCCCTCTCCCTCCCCCATAATTCTTTGACTTCCGTCTATATGAAATAATGTATAGTATAAATTATATTATGTTATTCCGTATAATATGTAATGATATAATGTAGTATAATTCCGTCCACATACACCCCATCCCTCTTCCCTTTGAAACAGACCCAACGAAGTCAGGGAGGCGTCACCCAGCAGCAGCAACCCGGCGGCCTGCCAGCCCCCCTCAGCGTCATCATCGCCCGGCAGCAGCAGCAGCAGCAGCAGCAGGTTCAAACGTCGGCCCCGACCCCCACGGGAAAGATTGCGGTGAGGGCTTCGGGACCCACACTAATCAGCCTGAGGATTAGGGTAGGGTGGACTGGGGGTGCGTAGTGGCATGGGTAGTGGCATGGGTAAGACGAACCACTGGTGAGTGTGAAGCAGATATACCAGAGAGAAATAAATAGACGGATAGCCCTGCAGGAGCAGGCAAATGCTTGCTGCATCAGGAAGAACTATTGATGATCAGTGATGACTCTTTAGTAATAGTAGTTTTGGCGGGAACGTGGATGTAGCCGGGCTGCGAAACGAGTTACTTACTGGCCTACTGCTGCCAAGTCCAAAGTTTAAAGCAGGCAGAAGGCGAAGAAGCGGAAGAGGAAATTACCTAAGAAAAGATGAAAGGAACGCGCTTTAAGAGAGACGGAGGAAACTATAGCAGTGGAGTGTAGAACTGAAGGCGGCAAATAGGACAAGGTATCGGAAACTGTGATGTGAAGTAATCGGAAAATGTACGCCGGTAGTGGGGGTGGTACTGGTGGTTGGTAGCCTGGTCATGGTGATGATCGGGGCTTCGTCCTTGCCCTTCACTCTTATCCCCCTCACCCCCCTCACCCCCCTCATCCCCCTCACCCCCCTCACCCCCTCATCCCCCTTTTCACTGCACAATGTGGACCCCCCTCCAGGGCTTCTTCCGTTCCATGAGCCCCTTCAAGGGCCGAGAACGCGGACACAGCCCGCAGCCGCAGCCACCCCAGCAAATCGGACTACAGCTGCAGCAACAGCAGCAGCAGCAGCAGCAGCAGCAGCAACAACAACAGCTGCTGCTACAGCAGCCGCATTTGCAACGTCTTCAACAGCAGCAACCGCTATTACAACAGCCGCAGCAGCAGATGCAGTGGTTGCAACAGCCACAGATGCCACTTCAGTACCCGCAGGGTGCTGCTGCTGCTGCTGCTGCTGCTACAGCGGATGGCGTCGCCGCCGCCGCCGCCGCCGCCGCGCCAGCGTCGGGGCCGTGGTACAAGCGCTTGTGGCTGCGGGGGGAGTCAGCTACCCCGGGGGGGCCGCAGCAGGGGCCGCCGGCACCCGGGCTTCTGAACATGCAGCAGCAGCTGCAGCAGAATCAGCCTCAGAGGCAAATGCAACCCCAACTCCAACCCCAATTCCAACTCCAACCCCAGTTCCAACCCCAACCCCAACTCCAACTCCAACCCCAACTCCAGCCGCAGATGCAGATGCAGACGCAGCTCCAAGGGGGAGCTGTGCCGCAGCTGGGGCCGTACCCGCCTGGAATGCAGCAGCAGCAGCAGCAGCAGCAGCAGCAGGCTCATCCGCTGCAGCTACAGTCACAGCCGCAAGGCGTGCCGACTCAACAGCCGCTGAACCAGATGCAGGCGGGGGTAATGCAGCAGATGCCGTACACACAAGGCATGCAAACCTTGTTACCCATGCAGGGAGGAGGAGCAGGAGGAGGAGGGTTGCAATCCGCAGGATACTATGACCCGCAAAATCAGCAACTACAGCAACTACAGCAGCAGCAGCAACAGCAGCAACAACAGATGTTGCGCGTTCAGCCGTCCTATGCCGTTGGCCCAGGTCTTGGCGGCGTCCCATTGCCCCTTGCCCCTGGCGGACTGCCGCCGACGTCCCTGCTCCCACCACCTCCGTTGCCTCCGCCACTGGACGACGGAGGATTCGGACTGGAAAACGAAGTCGCCGCCGGCCCGCGGCCACCTTCGGCCCCCGGCTACCGTACAGCCGTGGACCTGCGCAATGGTCAGTTTGGCCTCGGTGCCGACGTGGCGGAGGCGGAGGAGGAGGCGGAGGCCGCGGCGGCGGCGGCGGCGGCGGCGCCAACACTGCCGCCGATGGCGGGGCTGCCGCCGCCGATGACACGCAGCTACTCTCGCGGCGCTGGCCTTGTCCGGGGACCCTCTCCGGTGCCGTATAATGACGGCAACGACCTGACCGATTTGCCGGAGGAGCCCTTGGAGGCGACGGCGGCCGCGGCAGAGCAGCGCCTGGGTTTCGCGCCGCCGTCGTCTCTGCGGCGGTTGCCGCCGCCGCCGCCACGTCGATCCAACCCGGCTATGGGGCCCCCTGGAGGTCCTAGGAGAATTCAGCGGCAGCCTAGTTATGAAGGTGCGCGAGAGTGCGCGTGCGCTGATGATGGTCGGGCCCTGTCCGCTGTCTGTCTGTCTGTGTCTATTTTCTAATCTTTCTGAACTGCCCCGTATAAACCCCCGAGCACCCACATCGCCTTTCGCCGCGGCACCGAGCTGTGGCTTTCTGGACCCCTGGTCATCTATTCGCATATTTGTTCTCTCCTAAGACGCACGTACACGACACGACATACATACATACATACACATGCGTAAGCGATCCACCACCAACCGTCAACCGCGTGACCATCCCCCACCCGTAGAGCCAGTGGGCGAGATTGCTGACGTGGAGGAGGAGTACGGCTTGGGTGCCGAGACGGTTTCAGGAGGACCCAGGGTTCTCCCGGCCGCGCGGCAGTTGGCGGAAATGGCGTCCGGTGGCGGCGCGTCGTCGGATCTGGGCTCCTTCAGCTTCGCGGCGCGAGATGCGCTCCAGGGAGCGCGAGGGGGAGGGACGTCCCAGAAACTGAGACGGTAAGTTTTGTGCCAGCCGCTTTCTTCCTCCTTATCCCCGTGATCTCAAAACCACGCTCAAACACCATAATATAATATGTTGTGCTTTTTTTGTCGATATGCGATCAAGTTACGAGTTCCGCGCAAATGCGGGGGGGTGGAGGGCGATGGTAAAAGCCTGCGGGGGGGGGCCCGGACATTTGTTGCCACGTATGGGCTTGAAGCCATGGAATTTAAAGTGCTCGTATTACGTTTGATATATACAGGTCAACAGGTCTTCCTACGCCTTCAAGGCTGCCACCGCCGCGATTCGGAGACAACGACATGGTGGCGGAGGACTTTTGAGCTGACCTGCCTTTGAGATAGGTCTGAGCGTAATGCAGGGCAGAACCCATTTTGGTAATGGCGTTTGACGACGCTTTTTAGCTGGATAGCTAGAGATGTACATCTACTAACCAGGCGAGCCAGAAAGCGACGCTATGGCCAAGAAGATTGTGGCAACGTGTAGGAGTACATGTTCCTTATGTGATCTTTTCAATGGGAAGAATAAGAGCGTACAACGCGTTGCTACGTTCTCTGGATGAAGGTATCGGGAAGCTCGCTCGTTGACCAAAACCTTACAGACAAGCATGGTTAGACGTATGAGGTTATACCAGGTGTTCAGAGTAGTTTAATAAGCAATTGCATCCGGAACGGTGGACGGATTGAGTGTACGGGTTGGGAGCAGAGGCTCCAAAAGTGTTTCACCAGGGCGCCACATGTCGCGCCGCAAGTTGGTGGTCATGGGCAATTAGCAAGAATCACATCTCATCACGTATTTAAGCGTGAGGGCGTGACGTTTTGGGCAGCCTGAATGCGGCTGCAAGCCACCACGCCCGCAGTACATGGATGACACAGACCAAGTGACAGGAATCAATGTTTTTGTTAACATTAACGTGTAAGGTATATAGCTTAAGTTGTTTCTCTGATTAAATAACATATGAGTCTGAACATGCAACGCCAATAACGGCGTCCCAGGAACGCTACCTGGGCCACGCCTTGAAGTGAAAAACTGGCTTTGCGCATCATTTCTACACAGCATCCTTCTCAGTTTGAATCAATCTTAGACCAGACTTTACGGTGTTTCTAGCTATGGCCTTCGACCTCGCGCTCGCGCAGACACTATCATCCTCGCTTGACGTGAAGTAGGACCAACATACATCTTTTGTCGAAGCGTTGACAATAGCTGTATAAGCGCTGCTGAAGACGCACGGTGAGCAGCGCAGTCTACGGGTGAGGACGTGGGGTAGGTGTGACCTACCCGCCCTCGCTATGAGCAGGATTTGGCAGGTAGTACTTGCCTGCTCTCTCTATATGCAGGAGCTTATAACAGCGGCATACCTTTTGGTGTGCTTGGCCCGCCTGCGGTCGGGAGTACCTCATCGACGAGACATTTAGCCTACTCGGTTGTGCGCACCTTCTTTGTAAGCTCATCGCTTGTTGAAGTCCAAGAGTTTTGTGACAACGGCGCATGGATGCGCGAATGGTGCAACCTTTAACCCTTGCGGTGGACATTGATGTGCTTCTTTCGAGGTACGGTTCTTGCAAGCGGCTATGTCCAAATAGTAACTTCGCCCTGGGATTCAACTGCATAAAAATGGCAAGAGCACGAATGTTACACGTCGGAACTACGGTTGGCACTGTTAATCAGACTTACATGCTTACCCACGATCCATTTCCCACAGTGGTTCACAAGCTGATGAAGTTACCGGGATTTCTGGTCCAGAGCCCAGCTTCAGCTATGCCGTTAGCGAGCTTCCGTTCTCTGCATCAGCATCGCCATCGGTGGTCTCGACGGCCAAGCACGATCAGCTTGCAGCAACAAACGGGTGTTCATCTTATACGCGCTATGCCTGGCTGCGGCCGGGTGTTCGGCGTTTCCTGCTTGCGGTCAATCCTCATTTAAAGACGGTGCTGCTCGTGCGCAGCCGGTGCAGCAGCCGTCAGTGTAGCTGTTGCCTCGGCTCAGGTCGCAGGGCCAGCGTTGCCGGCGATCATTGCATCAGCATTAGCAGCACATGCAGAGAGGGTGACAGCAGCGGCCGGGGCAACTGGGAGCGCGGAGTGGTAGGCGGGTGCGGGGCGGCGCTGCTCGCCGCTGCGTTGCCGCACCTCGACCCGGATGGCCAATTCTTTAGTGAAAGGTAAGAAGGCGGAGTTGCCACGGCCGCATGCATCTGCCTAGGGGGGCAGGTAGCGCCCCGCGCATCCTATCCTTAATCATCAGGCAGAGAAATGTGCTTCCTATATCTGTCTGTTCTGCTCAATTGGTTCGACCAACCGCCTTGCTGTTTAATTGCGACATTGCTGACTTCGCTTCTTCATTGCCAACCGCAGGTTCATGCTGCTGTTCCAAGACCAGGCCCGTCCGCGAACAGCACACCCGAAACTGAGCCGTGCTTCCTGTCCTGTCGACACATACTCACCACGAACGACACCACGTCCCATGACCGCAGCTGTGCCTGCGAAAGTCGCGAAAGTCGCGGTGGCACAAAGCGCACAAAGCAGCAGTAACGCATTCCTGGCGCCGCGATGTGCCGCCTGCGACCTCGGCGCGCTGCCAGCCGCGCTTGGCGAGCGGCCATCTTCCATCCTCGTCGTCACGACAGCGGATCGGGCCGTGTTTGGCGGTCTTTCGGAACAGGTCGTACAATGCCAGCCGTACCGCAAAGAGTACGGCAAGTACGATGACGTATTAGACTGCTTGGAGTCAGTGGTTTCGGGGCTAATTGAAGAGCCGTCCGTATCTGAAGGAATTCGACGAATGGGTCTTCTACATTCGAAGCTGCAGCCTAGCCCCATGATGCAGGCACTCCATGCACAGGCGGCGCTACGACGGGCACAACAGCTGCAACAACAAGAACAGCTGCTACGGCAGCCGCAGCCACGGCAGCAACCATCACCGCAGCACCACCAGCAACACCAGCAACACCAGCAACACCAGCAGCAGCTCACAGCGCAAGGCCAGCAAGATCAACAGAGGTCGGGAGGCCGCCAAACTCCGCAGGCGGCGCTGCGGACAGGCTGCTCTCCCAAACACAGCCGACAGCTACATTCGCCGGTAGCAGTAGCACGCAAAGGCGCCCCGGGTTCATGTGGGTCAGCAGCAGTAGCAGCAGTGGCAGCAGCAGCAGTAGCAGCAAAAGCGGCCAGCCCTAAGGGCGCCGGTCGTAATCCTAAGGGTGGTGGCGGCGCCCGGCGGGAGACGGAAGACAGCGGCACCGATTCACGGGGCGTCGCCGTCTCCGCCCCGCAGACTTCCCCCCTGCCCCCCATTCCGGAGCTGCCGCTTTTGGAGGTCGGCGCGGACTGGCCGGGATCAGACGCGGAAGGCGCGGAGGCCCACTATCCCACTGCGCCTGTGCTAGGCGGGGGCTCTGCCACCACATCATCCTCCTCCAACTGCGTCCCCGACAGCATCCAAACTCACCAAACTCACCAACCAGTCCAGCAACCCCAGGAATTAACAACTTCAGAGGCCTCAGAGGCTCACCGGTGGGTTTCATCCCCCGTAGAGGTGCTGGGCACCTCGCCGGACTCGGCAAACTCTGGCGGCAGACCTAGCAGGAGCAGTGCTGGTAGTAGCAGCAGCAGCTGCGGCAGCGGGAGTAGCAGCAGCAGCCCGGCGGCGGCGGCGGCGGCGACGCCGCTGCTGCATAGCGGGAGGCGAATGGCCTGGGATGCGGTGCCCGCCAGCCCTAGTAGCTTGGTGGAACGAGTCGACTCGTCAGCGGTGTCAGCGATGGTGCAGAACCTGAGGACGTTGTCGCAGGGGCCGTCCGTTGCCGCCGCCCCCGCCACCAGCGGCGGCGGCGGCGGCGGCGGGGTCTTTGGACGCCGCTCTCGCGGCAGTTGCAGCAGCGCCAGCGGCGGCGGCGGCGGCAGCGAGTTTGATTGGCGGCCCAGCAGTTTTCCGGCGGCAACGAAGCCGCACGTCACGCGTCACATCTCCGATTGCGCGTCACAGTCGTCGTCATCGTCGGTGGCTGCAGCGGCGGCGGCGGCGGCAGTGGGCCTGGACACCGATACGCCAGTGGCGCCAGCAACGGCGCCAGCATCGGCATTGAGCGTCGCCGCCAGTGCCGTGGCCACAGCAACCTCCCGACTGTTTTCTCGCATCCTCGGTGCCCGCCGCCGCCGGCGCTGCCGGCCATCGGATGCCGGGGACGACAGCAGCATCCGCGGGGGTGTCACAGCCGCCGCCGCTCGTGCATCACGCGCATGGAGCATCACCGGCGATGAGGGCTCTTTTCTCGCGACCGTTGCGGCGCGGCAGCGCCTTTCCGCCTCCACAACGGCCGCGGAGGTACCGCTCATGATGCTGGCCAGCGGAAGGCCTGCACGGCGCCCAGCGGCGCCGCTGCCGTCGCCGTCCCCGTTGCAGCCGCAACCGCCGCCGCCGCCGCCGCCGCGCTTTTCCGACCACCTCTCCACGCATGCCCCGGCAATCTGCATTGCATCCGTCAATGACAATGCCTCCAACGTTGCATCACCGCCAGGGCCAATTACAGACGCAGAACCCCCTCCGCTTTCAGCAGCCTGGACAGTCCCTGCCGTCACCCGCTCCGCCGTCGCACAGGCACCTGCCCCATCACCTTTGAAGCCGCAGATGCCGCCGCCGTGGGCGCTTCCTCCCAACGGCGATTCTGATTCCAGCTGCCGCCGGCCGTCGGCATCATCGTCGTCATCTGCAGCAACGCCGGCGCAGGTAACCGCCGCCGCCGCCGCCGCCGCTGCAGAGGTTGGGGACCTCCCGGGCACGGCTCTGGAGGATTCAACCGAGTACAGTCTGCCGCTGCTGCTGCACCCACAACAAGAGGAGGATGAGCAACAGCTGCCCACACCATCGCTCCAGAGAGCTTCGTATCGCGGCGGGGGCGGCGGCGGGGGCGGCGGGGGCGGGGGCTATCTGGCCCCCCCAAAAGGCAGTCCTACTATCGGGGACTCGGCAGCGGCTTCATCTCTTCTCCCCTTCAGCCCTATGTCGCCGGCAATATTGGGCTCGGAAGCTGGCGGAAATGGTGGTGCTGGGAGGGCAGAGGGGTCCCGGGGGGTAATTGGCGTTGGCGTTGTTGATTTGGGGCGATGTGGGTGCTGACCGGGTGGCGACGGGAGCACCGGGATCGTCAGCACCGGGCACCGTCGGCGCTGCATGATGATGACGGGGGGTTTGCGGCGGGGGAGGCAGCGGAAGGCGATGGCGTACCGGCAGTACCTCACTGGCCCGCGACGACGGCGGCGGCGGAGGACGAGGGGCCTTTTAGTGCGGCGGACAGTTTTAGCAGTGTTATTCCTTCATTGCATCAGAGCCACCACAGTCGTCAACCGATGATGCGCAAGTGCAGCAAACGGGTTATTCCTTCATTGCATCAGCCGCCGCCGCCGCCGCCGCCGCCGCCTCCCGTTGTTGTTTCGCACCGGTCCTTGAATGCGTGCCGCCTTTCTCCACTCCCACTCGCTCCGTCCGTACGTGGATGTATTAAAGTATTTTAGTATATGTGTTGTATGTACGTATGTACGTATGTATGTATGTATGTATGTATGGCATAGGTTACACCGTGGGCCGCGAGGGCCGAGGGCCGAAGCCGAAACACAGCGCAAGGGTCGGGAGCACACATCACAAGTATGTATGTACGTAAGTAAGGAAGTAAGTATGTATGTATGTATGCGGTGCATTACACGTCCAAGCATCCCTAGCATGAGTGACGTACGTACGTATGTATGTTACGTATATGTCTGTCCCTGTGGCCGAGACTGCTCTCTTCCCTATCCCTCCCCCTCCCCTCCCCCTCTCACCTCCCCGGGTCGGTTGGTCGGTTGAAGATTTTGGCTGGCGTCTCTGTAGTCTGCATGGCACACATTACCAACCGATATACACCACACAACACCAACAATCCGCCGTTCTCTGTGAACTGCCTACCCAGCGGCCGCTGCGACGGCGGCACTACTGCAGCACTACTAGCAGCAGCAAATCAGCGCATTAGCAGCGGAGGGAGACCGAGCGTGAGGATGAAGGTGACTGGCCGTCCCGCATTAGCAGCGGGAAATTCGACTCGGTCCAGGTTACGGCTGCGGTTTGGCCCTGCGGATCGCAGCCTGGATTGCGTGATTTTCGCAGCAGCGAAGGGCAAAAAAGTAAAAAGGCAAGCGCAGCGATCCTTGCCGTGTGCCTTGTCGTTGTTGCGCATGCCATGTCGAAAAAACCTAGCTGGGCAGTTGTTGCTGTTGTTGCTGTTATTATCATAATGATATATAATGATATTAATATTATTATTATTGTTTTTGTTACTGTTTTCTGGGCCCATGGTCAATACTTCCGAGCTAGGGAATGTGGGGCATCATCTGGTGTGTGCATCTAGAGCTGCGGGAGGGTGTTTTTGTCCGACTGTCGGATCTGTATGTCTGTCCGTCGTGACTTTCGGGCTTTGTCGCGCCTTTCGGGTTTTGTGAAATATCCTTCGCCCTGTTATGGCGTGCTGCTGTGGGTGGCTGGGTGGGCGGCTGGGTGGGTGGGTGGGTGGGTACTTAATCCCGGGTATCATTTGGTGCTTTTCAATATACAGCTATGCGCGGTTCCTACGTAGATATGATGTGTGAAACAGGGGGGTGTATCTTCGCCCGTGGCAGCTACCCTGCGAAACCCTGCCTTCCCCGGTATTTCGGGGCACCCTCATCTAGTCACCCTAGTCAACTTCTCAGTGGATCGCTCAGGTTCCGCACCCACCACCAGCATCCAACGGAATCTGCCGGGTCGACAGCGGCCCAACTCCATTCCTGGTCGGCTCGCAGATTAACTATATCCCAGGTCACCACCGTCCATCAACTAGGGGCGCAATGCCTTCCACCATCGGAAGGTCTTTGACCCTAATCGGTATCGATCCCGGGATCTCCCGGGGGCAATGGTTGCGCCTTACCAGTAATGCCAAACCCTAGTATATATGTATGTATGTATGTAGGATCGCTTGGCATGTAGGAAAAGGCTGCCGCATCGGTGTATTAGATTGGTGGCTACTACGTATGTATGTATGTATGTATGTACACACACATGTTTCAGAAAACAAGGCATACTACGTTTTACAAGGCCCACTATTTTACTTACGGCCAACCGTGGATCATCTTCCAAAACTGCACGGAACGCACTTTATCCGTATCCAATGCCGTACGCTTTAGTACATTACAGCGGCCGGGTCTTGACTACCCCGGCCCCAGGTCAGGGTCAATGGTTGAAAGAAGAGCCCCCCGCATCAACCTCCCTCCAGACAGTTCCTGCCATTCATTGTACGACAAATCGTACTTGTCGACGGCAAATCTCCCGTCGTTTGGGACTCGGTGTACTGAACGGTCGTTAGGAGATACATTCGGGCTGTAGAAGACACCAAGTAACTGACTGGCTGGCTTTTTGCATGAATGTACACGTATGTATGTATGTATATATGTATGTACATGTAGCAAGCAGTGGCGGTCATTGCTGCCGAATAGGTAGCGTGCAGCGAGGTGTGTTGTAGGTGTGCTGTCGTGCAGTGGCTGTCGCGCAGTGGATGGATCCGTGCCTCCTGAGATGCATCGCACTACATCATCATCATCATCATCATCATCATTTCGGCATTCTTGGGACGACACACACATACACACACACACACGCGCGCGCGCGTGCCTATCCACGACATTTACATAGATATATAGCTCTCCTACATGCATGCGTAGTGCATGCATGTACGGGGATGGGGGGGGAAACCGGAGGGGAAGAAATGTGCGGCCGAACCAAAGGTGATGACGAGATGCGCGCGGCGGTGTGGCTGCATCTATCTACGTGAAACGGTGTTTCACGTGGTGGTGATGGTGATGAGTGTGATGGTGACGATGATGGTCGTAATGACAGCGATGATGATGATGCCGATGCTGATGCTGATTTTAAGGATGTCGCGGATAGGCGTGCGCGGGCGCTGCTGCTGCTACTGCTGCTGCTGCTGCTGCTCTGTGTGTTCCAGACTGGTGGGGAGGCCTTCCGGACGTTTTAGAGCCTTTTACGCCTCCTATCAGCTGCCCGCTACCCCTCCTGGCCCCTCCCTTCTCTCATCTACCTCGCGGTCATCATCATCATCATCATCATCATCATCATCATCATCATCATCATCATCATCATCATCATCATGGTCATCGCACCATCGGGCTCATAGCGATTTCCAGCAGGACTAACTGCTGCTCGCGAGATCTCCACAACCGGTGACATTTTGCATACGCATTTTTGTTGTTTTGGGGTTTACTCCGGGGGATTCGTTCCCCGGGTAGTTTGAGGTGCCTGCCGTTTTTGGTGTGGTGGTGGTGGTGGTGGGGCATTGCGACTGGTATTGTATGTACACGCCTGCAATTAACTAACTAACAAACGAACCGGGGATTTGCATTTTGCTGAACAAACCTGTTTTCCCCGCGTCCATGTGTCCGTTTGACCAAACCTGTCGCGTGTTCAAAACGACATTACCCCTGGAATGAATGCGTTATATGTCCTACAGACCTATAGCTTTCCTTTTCAGAATTTGGACAGAACATAATACTCGGCTCGAAAGGATGGCGGTTGGAAAGTGCTGACGTGGCCACTGGCCCTTTGTACTGTCTTCCGCTTTAATGCTGCTGCTGCTTCGTGGGGCCCCGGCGGCCAGCGCAGCACTTGGGGATCGACTCGGGTTTGTGTTTTGGGGTTTCAGGATAATGGGAGGGGGGTTGGGAGGGAGGGCGGACAATAGGGTGAACGAATGTGCTCCTCCTTTCTCCTGCTTCTCCGCCATTCGAATGGCAAATCCTTGGCAGTGTTGGTCGGGATGCTGGTGGGGTGTTGGTGGTCGTCATTGCGGGTCGGCTTCCTCCCTCGACCCACATAAAGCCATCACTTGAGACTCAGATGGACATTAGCATCTCATCCCCATCCCACTCCCCAAACCCATCCCCATGCCCCGATCGGGAACGTCTGCACCAGCAAGGCCCCCACGCTCGCAAACGGCCATTCCTGGTCAGGCCCTTTGTGTTTGTCCACCACCATTTTCAAAAGCACTCGCGACCAGGGTGTTTTGCATAGCCGCGGGTTTTTCAACGATAGTCAACGACTGCGCAATCCCCAGGCCTGCTCTCACTCCCTGCCCTCGGCCACGGTCACGTGGCAGGAGTCCCGGTCCTCCTCCAGCAGCTCTCCATTTCGAAGATTCTCGAAGAAACGCTGAGAGGTTGGGCAGGCGGTATCTTTGCTTTTTACTGAGACTCGAGGGTTGGAATCGAGGACGTTGTATCCGAGGACGTTGCATTCGAGGCGTTGCGCGGCACTAGTAAAACGGAGAAGGGGGGAGGGGACGTAAAACGAAGGGGGGAGGGGACGTAAAAAGAAGGGGGGAGGGGACGTAAAATCCTTGCGTGTCGCCATGGTCGCGGGTCAGCGGTGATGGTCGGTCAGCACCCACCTCACTACTGCGTCCTCTCACTGACACGCTGAATAATGAGAAAAGGTTTCTTTCAGTTGCTCTGCGTGGGAGGTGAAATGGTCGATCGTCGAAGTCCGCGTGTGCGCCTTCCACATACACACACACACGGTGTACCTCTAGCCGCCTCCCCACCGACCTCCCCCCCACTTTCCCCCCACTTCCCCCCTTACCACCCAGGCGGCATGCATGTAGGGTCTGCAGCAGCAACGCCTGACTGCTGTATAAAATCATAAGACGACGTGTTGTACGGCTAACCATAGTATGGCCCCACCCGGAAAGGACGATGTACATTTTTTTCGGGAAGTGTGTGAGCGTGTAATGCGGTTTTGTACTTTTTGGTTCTTCCTGGCAGCAGTGGTTGCGATTTTAAGGGTGAGAGCATGACTTCTTGGTTGGACATTGGTTGACCGCCAAAACGCATCACTATAGATATGAGTAGACAATAGTAGAGTAGTATTATATTACGTACAGCGAGGTGTGGAACTGCGCGGGTTCGTTTATCGGCCGCAACCGTGTGCAGAACTGTGTTTTTATTGTGCAGCGTGCTGCTGCTCGGCACACACACACACACACATACAAACACACACACACACAGAGCCTTGTGACAGCGATAATTGGGTCCTTATGGAGGTGGTGGCTTTTCCCGCCGCAAAGGAAGGAAGGATGTTTCAAGGCGCCGAAAAAGCTTAAACGCGAAGGGCTACACGGGAATATTCCAAATACTCTGCTGAACTTAAATTGCGACTGGATGGCTTCGGAGGCTGCTACCTGCCGCGAAGATGGGTGACGCTGTAATATGAGAAGCTTCGTGTCGCAGTTGTTATTATTATTGGATATTTAAACCCACTTGCAGGCAGGCTTCTGTTGGATGGTGAAGGCGGCGTCTGGGGTGTCAGGGGAGTAAGCTCGTGTCAAGTGAACAATTGAAAAAAGATTGCGGGAATTGGATTTTTTGGAGAGAGTTTGTGGCAGTTTAATGGAGGATTGGGATTTGGGGAGAGAGTGTGGAGGTTTAGGGCCCGAGAGCCCAACAGCGGACTCGGAGCAGGTTTTTAAAATTTGAATTCTTAATCTCTCTCTCTCTCTCTGTCTCTAATTCTCCATTCTTCCTCCTCTTTCTGGAGGAATACAGCTAGCAAGGACGCTTGACATTGCGAGAAGGACTGCGCTCTCTTAACCGTCCGTGCCTGAGCTTCAGAGTATGAGAGCAGTGTAACTAGTTGGTGAAAGCGCCATCAGCGCGGCGGACGCGATTGTTCCATTCAAGTGCAATAAAGCAAAAGAGCGCAGTCGGTGGTTGGTGATATGTCCCCCGCGGTGAGGGGAAACCCCCGGAATCCGTTGTTCTCTCCGCCCGTGATGTGTGATTCGTGATCGCAACGCCATAAGGGCATGTGTTATATCGACAACCGGGTGACCTACTTCAGACTAGACAGTACGAGAAACTCCTTCCCCTTATCGCTGCCGTACCAACTACACCAGTAAGGCGGTATAGTGCTAGATGCTCACTCAGCTCAGAGCTCGGATACTTTGTGCACGACGGAACGAGCTGGTTGGAAGGAAATGGAAGGAAAGGCAGATTGTATGTGTGGGCACAGGGACCGGGTTTGGCGGAGTGGAGGGGAAGGTGGGCGGCGGAATTTGACAGGCAGACACGTGAAGCGCACGCTTTGAGGCCTCCAGCCTCCCTAACAACTTTTACACCCGTCCCAAATACCACGCACCCGCTACACGCGTTTTAGGCCATAAAATGAGAGGGACGCCCAGGACCGATCCATGGAGAGGCAAGTGGGCTCCCCATCCTTAATAGGCAGTAATTACTCTTTGTTTTGGAAGTTAGGGATGCTAAAATAATTATTGTTATGTATAACCTCCCGCAAGCCGCTGTCTTGACGGCGTCTGCGACATACAAAAACAGTTTCCCAATTGCGATAGAAGTTGGTGAGTGAGAATCTATGTCAAGTAATGAAATGAATTATAAGCCTGTTATCTCGAAACTGTACTGGGTAGTCACTGCTGTACACGCTGTTCTAAATCTACTACACGGACGCGGACCAATATTGAAAACGTTTGCAGACGACCTACGACATAATTTTATTGAAGTCACATCTTGTGACGTGCCTTGATCACAACTTATTGAACCTTCGCTGCAAGCGTGGACAGGACAAGTACTTCCGGACGGAACCCTAGCTAAGCTACCGGAAGTGTCAAATGCCTCAGTTTTGCGTTCAAGGCACTTCGGTGCGCTGCGGGATCGCTACACCAGCAGTGTTACGGTTGCAGCGTCTGAAGGTGCAATGCGCGGCGTCCGGAGACTCCGGAGACGCCGAGCGGCCCAGCAGTAGCAAAGGAAAGTCTTTCAGTGGCGAACGCCGTAGAAGAGGTCGGCCTGCGCACTTGAGGAGTCCAGACGATTCTCCCCTACGGGTGAGGCCAACGGGGCGCACGTTGCCTGATGGGTGCACCTTACCCGTTGCAAGCTGCCCAATCTCCTGTTTCGCCGTGATTTTTTACTACTTTCAGGATGGGAATAGAGATCGCTTGATGGGTCTGCTTACGGAACGGTAAGGCTGGCGGCGGGAAAGCCTGATGGCGCTTTCGAAGTCTAAACGCCTCGGTTGACCCAACGGTGTGCCTTGGGACATGAGAAGGCGAGCTTTAAAGGCCCACTCAAATTATAAAAGTGTAAACTTGTGTTATGGCCCGAAGCGTCAGATGTCCTGCTGACGGCCGTCTTTCGGAGGCATCAACTACCGAAACAGAAGCTTTAGCCTCCGACGCTCTGGTTCAGCTGCTCTAAACACAAGTGATCTTGCCCAAAAAATCTGTGCATGACTGGCCAGGTCCGCTGTGATACTTTGACCTAGTATCACACGATCAGCCGACTGGTGCCGTCATGACGCAACTCGTTTGAATTGCCATCAACGCATATTCGTGTGGTGCACACAATTTTCAAATATTATTTTTCCTAAGCAAGGAGCTTGTGTGTGAAATCTGATGGCTAAGGAAAAGCACGGAAAACTGTAAATGACGTCAGACCTACGTGAGACCCCCAGCACTGTCGCGAATACGTGTATATACTATGGCACGCTCATCATATGGATGAGAGTCCAACCTAAGCAATCCTTATCTCACATCATTACCACATCACTACCTGCCGCCATTTTTCAAACTGGGACAGTACGCCGTGGGCCGTGTGCCCGGGTTCCTGACACACATTCTCTACCCTCCACCCACCCCCCCGACCGATTTCACACTGTGTTCAAGAAGCTCAGAAGCCTCCCACTCTGTAACAACAATCACAAAAGATGTCACACTCATTTTCATTTTAGCACCCTTGACTACCCCTGATACAACTTATGTAACACCTAGGCCCCACCATCCCAGTGTTCCCCACAACCCACCGGCTAGAGAGCTGAAACGTGCCGCTGTCCTTGTAATGGTAAACTTGCACGTACCTACCAGCCTACTTGCCTACCTACCCTGCTACCTACCGCCCCTCCATCGCCACCCTCCCTTGCTTCACAGGGCCGCCAAGACTCTAGCCTATTACCTAATAGAGACCAATCACAATGTGCACCACTGGGTCAACAGGTTCATTAAGGAGCACCCGATACCCCGGGTGGGAGGGGGTGGGGTGGGGCGGGAAAGGGGGAGGGGGAAAGGGGGGAGGAGGGAAAGGGGGGAGGAGGGAAAGGGGGGAGGAGGGAAAGGGGGGAGGAGGGAAAGGGGGGGAGGAGGGAAAGGGGGAAGACGAACCACGAACGAGTGAAGCTGAAGGGTGAGGGGAGGAGGTAAAAGGGGAGGGGGTAGGGGGTTTTAAGAGGAGGGGAGGGGGAAAGAGGCTGCATGAGTTCTGCCGTGTCCAACAAACACTGGGTCGGAACTTGTGGTGTCATCAAAGTGGGGCGGTTTGAATGGCCTTGGTATTAGTTTTGATTTTGCCTGAAAACACCAACAACCTCCGTAACACCTAAATAATATATATTCCCGCCCTTCTTCCCCCCTCCCCCTCCCTCCACTCAAAAAATCAATTCTCACCCGTCAGGACGGCAACTGGGATGACGTCAGCGGGGACACGTTTCTGCGGACACTGCTGTCCATGCCCATGGAGGAGGCCACGCCGTGGGTGAGGTCGGATTAAGGTTTCGGAGCGTGTGCGTGTGTATGTATGTACGTGTACGTGTGCGGTCGGGGGGAGGGGAAACGGCTCAAGGGAACGGCGGCCAGGGGGGAGGGGAGGGAGTGGCGGGAAAAAGGGGGGGGAGGAGGTTGGTGGCAAGGGCTGGGCTGGGCGCTGTGTGTTTTGATGATGATCCGGAGGAGCGGCGATGAGAGGAAAATGACGATTGTGGTCGTACACAGTCACATACATACATACATACGAGGAGAGACAGCCCCGACTGCCGCGAGTGAGGGAGTGGGGCGCGCGCGGAGAGGAGCAGACGGACGTGGTAGAGCCGCGCGCCCGCCCGCCCCTGCGCTGTGTTTCGGCCCCCCCCGGGGTCAGGGGGGCCCCCCGCCCGTGCTCTCGGTCCTTTCTCGGGGCGAGAGCCGCCCCCCCCCCACCATTATTAACAACTGCAGCAGCACCACCACCAACTCTCTACCCCCTCGCTAACCCTGCCGTGGGGTACCGTCCCCAGGGCCGCGACCCGGTCTTCCACAACACGTCGGCGAGTGACGTCGACCCTCGGAGCATTGCGCAGAGGATTATGGAGGTGAGAGAGTGTGTGTGTGTGTGCTCTCTGTATGTGTGATGTGTGTGTGTGAAACAAGGGGGTGTATCTTCGCCCGTGGCAGCGACCCTGCGAAACCCTGCCTTCCCCCCGGTATTTCTCGGGGCACCCTCATCCAGTCACCCTAGTCAACAACTTGTCAGTAGATCGCTCAGGGTCCCCGCACCCACCACCGGCATCCAACGGAATCTGCCGGGTCGACAGCGGCCCAACTCCATTCCTGGTCGAGCTCGCAGGTTAACTTTATCCCAGGTCACCACCGTCCATCGACTAGGGGCGCAATACCTTCCACCATCGGAAGGATTTTCGACCCTGATAGGTCTCGATCCCGGGATCTCCCGATGGCATATGTATGCATGCATGGGTGGATGGAGGCATAGATGTGTCTTGGGATCCATGTGCATTGGTCTGCACCTTCTTCACCTCCGTAACATTACCCCCATCCCCCAAAACACCCACGCACACATACACACGCACGCACGCTCTCCCCATTTGCGGCCCCAGTCGCCTCGTTCGAAACCGCCTCCTGCTTAGTTCTGCTTAGTTTTTGTCTTTCCCTTCTTTCCTTTGCAGCACCTTCACTCGTTCACTTGGTTCGTCTTCCCCCCCTCCCCCCCCTCCCCCCCCCCATCTCCAGATTCGCGCCCAGCTGGCCAGCGAGTTCATTCAGGACCTTAGTCAGGTGGCCGAAGAAAACAAGTTGTTGCAGCTGGAGACGTTGCAGGTGGCGTTTGCGGGTTTGCCGGCCAGGGAAGGGAGTGGCAGGGGGCAGGGCGAAGGGCCAGGGGGAATGGCGGAAATTGATGACTTTGGAACGTCGTACAAATGCAGTCGTACAGACAACGATCCCTCATGTACTGTTGTGGCATGTTGCATGCCCCCCAACCCCCCCAACCCCCCCACCCCAAAACCCTTACCCCACGCACCTGGCAGCAGCTCCACTCGTTTGTGGTTCGTCTTTCCCCCCAAAACCCTAAAACCCCACACCCCCCTTTCGCCATTCCAACCCCCACTTCCCCGGGTCTACCCTAGGCCTCTTTGTTCAGTACGGAAGACGCGATTGCTGACGGCAGCGCCGCCGCTCGCCAGGCGGCCACCTCCCAAGGGCAGGGAAGCGGCAGTAGCGGCAACAGCCAGAACGCTTCCGGCGCGTCGTCGCCTGGCGCCGGCGGCCGCGGCAGCCGCGGCGGCGGTACGGATGGTACGGATTCGTCGAGGGGGGGAAAACCCAAAAAGGTGAAGAAGTCGGTGTTGCCTGCGCAGCCGACGCCATCCAACTGGCGCATGCGGCTGGAGGTGGAAGCGCAGGTGTACGGCGATGTCGACGGCGCGTCGCCGTCGTCGTCGGCGGCGGCGCCGTCGCCGACGGCGCCTAGCTCCGCTACTGGCATTCCGGATAGCGTTATGACAGGGATCATCTCGCCGAACTACACGCCGCAGCCAGCGGCGGAGGCGGCGGGGAGTCCGCCGCCGCTGCCACCGCCGGCGGAGAAGGCGGCGAAGCCGCCGCCGATGCCGCCGCCGCTGCACCCGGAGGTTGCGGAAATGCTGCCGCTGATTCGCTCCTCCCCTTCTGCTCTTACTCCTGACGTGGCGCAGATGTTGTCTAGTCTGGCGGTTACGTCTAACGGTCAACTGCATCCTGACATTGTGGATGCTCTGCGGGCGGCGGTTGACGCCGGGGCGAGGCTGCATCCCGAGATGGCGGAGCTGCTAGGAATGGGGCCGTCGGCACCGTCGTCGGCGTCGCCGTCGTCATCGTTGAAGTCGTCATCGACGTCGGCACCTGCTGCTGCTGCTGCATCTAGCAGCGGCGGCGGCGGTACCCTCGCAAGTAGTGGGTCGCGTGGCGGTGGCGGCGATGTGGCGGCTCCGTCGACTTCAACGTCGTCGTCGTCGGCGGCGGCGGCGGCCGCGCCGACTCCATCACTGTCAGCGGCGCCGATAGGGAAATACGGCAAGCCGCCTGTGCCGCCGGCGGCGGCGGCATCGGCTGCCGCTGCCGCTGCTGCGGCGACTTCTGCCGTCGAGTCCGTACAAGTCGTACAGTCGCCACAGGCGCAGTCCCAGCAGCAGGAAGAGGAGGAGGAAAACTCCATCACCGCGCTTCAGAACGACAGCTGTCTCCATTCCGATGAAGAGTGATGAAAAAGAGAACCGCCAAAGGCCTCTAGAGAAAAGCTTTCAGAAAACGACAAAACGAAAAGGATGGAGAGGCGAGGAGAGGAGAGAAGAGGAGGGCTATAGGATGCTGCAATGTACGGCATCATGCCGTACGGCCGCGGCAGCAGCTGTCCGTGCGCATTCTTGTACGGCTTTTCTGACGTCTACTGCTTATAACCTTACTGGAGAGTGCTAGGCTGCTCTTGCGGCGGCGGCGGCGGGTGGGGAGGGGGAGTTGCCATACACATGCCTAAGTACGGCACGAAGTACGGCATTGCCTTTCTTGAGGGCTGTGCACGAGGTCTTCTCTTATCCTCTCTCCTCGGGTGGCCCTCCCCTCGTGGTTCGTCTTCCCCTTCCCCCTCCCCCCCTCCTCCTCCCCCCCTTCCCNT